CCAAGTGTTTAGAAACACTTTTTAACTGTTACTAAATTAACATTAMTGTTAGTTTAAGTGTTAGTTCCAGATTAAGTGTTACTTCCTGATCAAGGAAAAAGTAACAAATAAACTGGTTTTAACTCAGTCTTGATCCCTAAATTGCCAATGAAATATTCTTTCATACAGAAGAATGAGTTCCAATCAGACTCATTTAATTAAACTTTTCTCCTTCACTGGATATTGTATTACAAAAATAAAAACTGAAGAAGATATCTATGTCCAATACGGAAAAAAGAAAATTCTTCTGAAACCTGCTTAGGTTCCCATATTTCTCATTAAATATATCTAGTGTTCACAAACAAATAAAACCCCTGTAGGGTTATTTTCTCAAAATTTCATTCTTGTTTTATGGAAGGCTTTGAATAAATTATTTTTTAAATTACTTTGTGATTAATTTTTGGGAGAAGGCAGTTAAAAAAGAAAGAACAAAATTGGTCCAAATTACATTTTCAAAGAAAAAGTCAGTTGATGCCTAATTTTATAAAAGAGTCCAATTTCCATAAGTGAAGGGAAAATTGATCCCATGCTGTCACAAGCATCAAAATGGAAGCAGGTTGACTCTTAGGTCTTTTGAAAATTTGGCTCTACCTATGGATATTAGAATTCTAACCCTAACTTTTTAAGAAATTTACAGTTTAATGACCATTTAATGCTACAGAATTTCACAATCATTCCCTTGATAATAATATTCAAGTTTTGAAGGCCCTGAACTCCCCTCCAAAGTAACTTCTTGTTTTCCTTATATTTAGTTCCTTTCTTCAAAATCCAGGATAGTCTACTTATTCTTCAGCTCTTAACCCATTTTTCTATCACAGTTTTTGTACTTTTATCTTTTTAACTACTCACAGAGATTTCAGCTAACCCATCCTATTTGTTCATGGCATCTTGAGTGGATTTTTGACATAAATTTTGCCTTAGAAAGTATCTACATGGACGGAATGTTTTGACAGCAGTCAGTTTCTCGTAGAGTTGATAAGACTGTAAAATTTTGTGTATTCATGTAAAGCTTAGTTTGAGAGATTAGAGAACAGTTCCAGATATTTAGTAAATCTGGATGTACTATAAACCCTSTTCTCTATCTGAGACACGTTTTTGAAGTCACAAGGGGGAAGTAAGGAACCCAGTTTCCACTAAAAATTAAATGTTACCCCCTTTATTAAGAAAGCTGATGCATTTCCTCTGTACATGATAACATTGTTCTTCTGTGTATGGAGGAACTATTTTTTTAAAAAATGCAGAAGAGCATTTCATAGCATGGTTAAAATTGTGACGTCTTAAATATGTAAAATATAATGAGAGAGATTTTTATGGGGCAGTATTTTCCACTAATCCGTTTGATACACTAAGGAGAAAAAAATTACCAAGCTTTCAGGCACACAGATCTTAAACAGAAAAGATAAAACATGTTTGGAARTCCAACAAGAGACACTTTTTTCTCCTAAATCTGTGTGCAATCACAGTGTGCCTTTGTGACAGCATTATCAAGGTCAAATATTCTTAAATTATCTAAGTCTGTAGGTTTGGGTGTCAGCGGGAATCCTCCCACCARCTTTAGTGGTTAGATTGATGCCACCTTTGGCACTTGACCCTGAATTTGGGCCCGAGTTGAGGGCACCACTGGYCACTCTCCCAGTGACAGCTTTAGGATTTTCCAAAACTGAAGTTCAGGTGCAAACCACAGGTCTRTTCTGCCAGTGAGCTCTGGTAGCTCAAATTGAAATAAAGGTCAGTCCAACTTGAGAATCCAAGTAGAAAACAGTAAAAAATAAAGATGAGAAACAATAAGAAATAGTTCTGCTCCTGTGGAGTCTTCTCAGTCTGCTGTGGCAGGAGGTTTGTAGTTAGATGCTGGATGAGAGAACCAGAGCAGCAGTGACAGTGTACAGATGGATGGCACAATATCTACTGGATTACTTCAGGAAGAGGGGGCTTGGATCAGTTAAAGCCAAGTCCAATTTATTGCCTAGAAGGGCCTCATCCAGCCTCTAAACTGAACCTTTTTTTTTTTTTTTTTTTTTTTTTTACTTTTTTTTTTTTTTTTTTTTTTTTATTTTATTTTTATTATTTTATATATATTTTTTTTTTTTTTTTTTTTTTTTTTTTAAATTTTTATTATTTTTTTATGAGGCCCTGTAAACAGCTATCAGACATAAGCTCAAATTAAGGCCAATGGTTATGAGCCGATAACTGAAGGAGGACAGATGTGAGAATGAACATGACAGTAAGTGCAGGAATTTGGAAGGAAAAMAGGCAGTAAGGTGTCTACATAATTTGCCACATTTCTGTGAAAAAAAAAATAATTCAAAAGCACAACTACACATGATTTATTCACTGTTGTTCACCTTGCTCCTACCTTTGCCTCTCAGCAGACTAAGCAGATTTTTGTGAGACTAGATTTCTTGTAGCTGTGCCCACGCTTCATTCACATCTATATACATGAGCCGGAGTGGCATATGGCTCTTCAGGAAAACTGGATATCAGTTGCACATAAAACCCAAATGTTATTTCCCTGGCTTGGGTGGGATTATACACTGAATTGTTTCAGCAGCACAGTATAACTTCAGTGCTAAATAAATAACATGCATATTTTGCTCCCAATTTATTTTTTTCCATATCCCAGTTGGCATTTTGTCATGAGAAGCGCCACATAATTGCTCAGACTTCTGCTTGTATCACTCCTTTTGTTATGGAACTTCTGCATTGACTTATTCTGAGYGAAGTTTTGAAAAACTTCAATTCTTCTTATCTGAAGCCCCAAAACATTAGCTGAAAGTTTATTTTGAGTTCCAGTTCACATAACTTCAAGATATCCTTGCTCACGCCTTTCTAATTACCTTTGTAATAGAACTGAATATTATGAGGTTTTATATATCGCTTTTTTTGATAGTCAGTTCCTGAATCCCAAAAGTCCGTGTAATTTTGTAGTTTGTATTTACTAAATTTTAAACCCAGATTGAACCAGTTAGATCATACATTCTAACTTTCTCCCTAATTCCAGTCACATCAAAGCTTAGACTTCAAATTCCTGCACTTTGCCCTCTCAGATCCAAGATACCATTATAAAACTTCCAAATATGAGGAACTGACCACAAATATTAGAAAGCTGCTTCAGAGGCTATTCAGGTTTCATGTCAAAAACATGCTATTTTATTCCTGTTTGAACTTTGAAAAACAGCTTCCATTCAATCTTCCTCGAGCTTTGCAAACTTTTTTTAAGAGTCCTCCTTATCAGGTTGCTGTCTCTTGAGGAGGACTTGAGAGGGAATCTGATTTCAATTTCATTTTGTTCTATATGCTACACTTTATGTGATTACTGCTCCCGCATTTTCAGTCTTTATTTAGAATTTGTTACCTGACAGAGTTTATTTTCAAAACCATGTCCTTTCCCTTTTACATGTAGTCACAACGTGTTTGCTAATTACTCTTCAAGTGGGAAAAAAAAAACCAACAAAAGCGTTCAACTGCTTGCAGAATAGGAACATAGAATCATAATGTCCAAGGGAATTTTCCTTTCATTCAGAACAAAGCATATTCTTTTCCAATCCTTTATTATACAATCCGCGAAGTTACGCAAAGAGACAGAAGAGAGGAGCCTGCACTGGTCGCCCCACAAAGATAACTGGAAACAGAGTATCCCRTAAGACTCCCTAAAGCCCAGGCTGCTCTGTTACAACTTGTGAAACACTGACAGTATTTTTTTATTTCTGAAGTTTTACAGGGCAAGAGACGGTCGGTCTCTTGSGTGTGCGTGCCTTCACTACACACASRTTTGCACCATAAAGAATATGATCCTGGCAGCAATAAGTGAACGCCAGACCGCGACTCTCTCGGGGACACAGCGTTTGAGGGGGCAGGTGGAGCACAGGAGAGAGGCACGGGCCAGCGGCTCAGCCGGGAATGCCCGCAGGCACAGCACGCTCTCGGGCAGGGCGATGATGATGAAGGAGTTTCGGCAGCTCCGAGGAACACCGGGAGCACCGGGAACAGCGGGAGCACCGGGAACACCGACCCCATCCCCGCATTGGCCCCGGAGCTGCGGCCGGACGGTCCCGGGCCGGCCACGGGCGCCCCCCAGCGCGCGATGCCGGC